GAGTTCAAGAAAACAGTACAATACAGCAATCACGCCGGGGCTTGCATAGGAAGCCCAAAATCGAGAGTACTGTTCACATGCCATGCCAGATCTAAGTTGGAGGTAGTTCTAACGAATATAGCGAAAGAAGTTGAGGAGAGAAGCGAAATAGCATCCAAATAANGTACATCAACAGGGGAAGGGAGCGTAGGTTCCGTTTTTTCTATGTACCACGCATGGCTCTGCAGAAGTCTCGTTAAGCTTTCCAATGCTTGACAAGGTGTGCGAACTCGCCATAGTGAAAATTATATGGGCACATCGCTAGGAAAATTTGCAATTTTTTGATCAATTTTATGAAAAAGAAGAAGAAGCTTGTGATAGAGTGAAAAAGTTCTTTTGGACGAAAACCGGAGAAGGTGGTGAAAGCTGTCGAGCTGCTATTCGTATAGGAAAAAGTAACAGACTTCTTGATACTTCTTGGAAATTTTGAATATTTTAGTCTCGAAGTTTCATTTTAATTTTCAACAGAATTTCAGGGATATGGAGGTGGTCCACTGTTCCAGCTTAATGATAATAACAAATTCGTGCAAGTTGGAATTGCATCAGAATTGTGCGTTGATGGTAAGCTTCAGATACACATTCCCAATGTCAAGCATCTTTAAACCTTCTCACCCATGTAGTACATATGCAGTTGCCCACAGTCTAGCATTTCTACGATACTCCTCGTTGTAATATTTCAAGGGCATATCTTGAGTAGTTCAGATGGGCACAAACTGCAGAGTTACGCCTGTTTTCTGATTCTAGCGATCAATTTTCCGAATATTACCGTAAAATCCGCTAGCAGCCGCTCAGTTACCCCATCCTGGAGAGAGCATGTACGTTATCTCCTTGAGGAACCGTCAAGGAACCAACGGGACCGACTGATTCCAGTTGCTCCCTTAGCACACTCTTCGGACTTCAAACCATCCGATTACTGCTATGTGTCTCTTTCTACCTATCAAAAAGAAGTTGCGAGGGAGATAATAAGTAACTCAAAGAGGCCTGAAAATGGCAGTAATTGAAGATTCAGAGGACGGTAGAATTCGGGTATTTGCGACAACTGGGAGAATTTTAGAAATAGATCTAAAAAACCTCATTATCGAAGAATTCTTTGCTTGCTGGCCCAATAAGTAAATCAATCAACAAAACCGATAAAAAGGATCTTCTCCGCGTGAAAGGAAGCACAGATACCTTCTAGGGGAAGTAGTAAAGATGCAGAGGAGATGAGTTTGGAAAGAAAAGAAGATGAAAATTAAGTTAGAGCCCGTTTTCAGGTAAGAACAAAGAGCAATCGTTTGCACCGTACTACGATATCGAGGATGACATGACAGATGTTTTCACTGACCTGCGCAAGCATTTGAACTGGATTTGCTATAAGATAGGTAAGTTGAAATATTCCGTGATTATTTTTCAGTAAAAAAAGGTTACTTTTTCACCTGAGAAAAGCTTTTGTAGGACTTTGCTATCGGCAAAATATTTTTACAACGACTCGCACTTTCCTGGAAATGGCTTCAACCATTCCGTATGATCCGACTGAAAGGTTTAGAACAATGGAACCAGCTCGGTGAAGCCAATATCTGAAATAAATGTGTTTCAAGTCACATGCTCACAAGATACCCGTACAATTGATATACAGAAGTGTGCACTGACAAGGCTTTCTGATCCAAAAACAGCGTCATCAACTAGTTTCTTGGACAACACGTTGAGAAAATATCATGTCAGCAAGAAACTCTATCGATATAAGTTATTATCGCAACAAAAAAATCCGGAAGTGCAGGCGCATCAATTGCTTCAGACAAATGAGTAAGGAAACGACGCCTCCACAGGAAGCACCGCCCCCTACGGCAATCGCAATTGCTAACAATGAGATATGAAACTAAAAAAATGTGAGACTCAAACAAATCAGTCAGATCACTCAAAGTTGTGCTCAGGAATGAACAAAAAGTACTGTTTACTGGGTTGTTTTCTTTTAGCCTTCATTACGTTTGTATATAAGCTTTATCAGGCTGGCCTTTCAGTGGAGTCGCCGTCTTTGAAGAATGTTCTGGCGGAGTTGCCTTCTCTAGAGCCTACAGACGAGAAGTCCTTTATCCTAGGACGTCAACCTTTCGAAATTTATATGCAAACCTAGTGGAGTTCAAGAAAACAGTACAATACAGCAATCACGCCGGCTTGCATATGAAGCCCAAAATCGAGAGTACTGTTCACATGCCATGCCAGATGTGAGTTGGAGGTAGTTCTACCGAATATAGCGAAAGAAATTGAGGAGAGAAGCGAAATAGCATCCAAATAACCATGTAATGGCTTTAATAAATATATTTCACATATATGTACATACATGATGGCAGTTCGAAAGTTGGAGGCCAATTAAACTGCATGATACAGGCGAAAGACTTCACTCCACTCAGATATGCAAAGGCTTCACTCCTATTCGGAAAAATGATGCTGCCCATTTGGGAGCAATTATGGAGGAGGAACTTTGAAATAATTTTACAGATGTATTCGTTCATTAGGTAGCAGCACTTATCGCGCCCCCAATCTTTTGTGAGCTAGCATTTCCCACAATCTGCTGAATCGACAGTTGTTTCCGTTCCGATGGAGGCGTTTCAGATCTTGCGGGTTCCTTTTTTGTCATTCAGAATAGACATTTGCAGAAAACACCGCTAACAGAAAGGCTTACAGGAATGACAAACTTAGTAAAATGAGATAAAACCAAGTCAATGATAGCGATAGCTCGAAGCAGAGATGATAACGACCGTGTATACTCATTAGTGTGGGTTAAGACAAACCTGTCTTTACCTCTTACCCATGATACAGATGATACCATGGTGATAACAACTATAGTACCACAAACCAACCCCGGTAGGATTCATTCCATTTGCAACGATGCCAGTGATCGACATCAATGAATGTCCGTCTGAGAGGTATGGTTACATTGGTTCACGGACGTTATTTCTTCCCTTGTCCCGGACTGTACTGCAGCTTTCAGAAGTGCTCCAAGCAATGGAGAAGTGCAAGAGATTGTTCAGCCAAACGATGAAAACCTGAAACGTGCATCGGCTGGAGGCCCGGGAGGTCTATCCTGCAATGAAATGTTCCTCGTTACGCTAGCCGTCATCACGGTTGTGTTTGGCACTCTAGACCTCATCTTCGACTACAAGCACGTAGCCCTCGCCAAAACTATCTTTTCAATGGCTCTCGCCGTTTTGACGATTGTCGCAGTTATCACCAAATCTTCAATACTCATGTTAGTCGTCCTGATTTTTCTGACAATCTTGGTTGTCTTGGTAACTGCTGCACTGGTAGTCAGTGTGATCTTGTTTTTCACTGAGGGAAAACAGCTGCAAACCGGTCAAATAGTAGAGATTATTATTACTGCCTTATCATACCTATGCATTGTTTTTGCCTGTATTTCGGCTTGTATACTTCGCGGGCAGTATTAGTTTTAATGAATCTAAGGAGAAGTTTTTGTCGACATGTTTAAAGCCGTTGAATAAACGATGTCGATCTCCTAGAACTCGCAGCGCTTCGAAGTTTCTCTTTGCTATTCCTCGTTAGAATCATGTGGTAAACTACTGAATGCACTTAATTTCTACAAATCCTGTGCAATTATGTGAGATTCCGTTTTGCCTGCAATACCAGGTGGACTCAATACGTTCCGCGATATCAAGGTAACCGCGGGGGACCAGGGTGGTTACTGACTGGGTCCCTCGAGACGTCAAAAGAACACCAGGGAGGTCGCCAATGCGATAGTTAGACCTAGACTTCAAGGAATGCTCCAAACGAAGGGAGTGCTTTGTTCCGTGTCTTTCGATCGAAGGCGACCAAATAAACAACTCTGGCTTGCGACAGGGAATTTCTGCAAGAACGGCCTCAGAGTTTTTCTGGATCTCCCAAATGTATCCCCCACATGTACAAAGGAGATGAGTGTCCGCCTATAACCAGTCACCTCTTAACATATTTACTGCTCTGCGAGCTACGACTCGCGGGCAGTAGCGTTGTATTGCGATCTCGGCTATCAAGAGATCCCATTCGCTGCTGACAACCAACCGCCTGTGGCAAAAGGGGATTCTATTCGCTTCTACGGTGGAGCCAGGTGGGTATCTCATGAAGTGGGTAGTTCTCCGATGAATTTCAGAACGCTGTTGATATTGTAGACCATCTTGAATTAGATTTAGACTTCTGGAGACTGCGCTTCCGTCGAGAAGTTAGGCCATTGAATCTATAAAGTGTTCCAACCGCGAGCTACGACAGGGGATTTCCGCAAGAAAGGACTCAGAGGCTTTCTGGATTTTGTAAAAGAATCCCCACATTAACAAAGGAGATGAATATCCGCCTATATCCAGTCACCTCTTAACATATACAGAAGAATTTCAGCATTTCAAACGAGAATGTCGAGGTTGAAAGAAGAGAGAAGTTGAAACAAAATGCATGGCTTATTGAGATACAGCAACGGCCCTCCCACTCCTGGCGTGTACAAAACTTTGTTGCGGGCTTTCAAGGGTAGCTGAACGTCAAGAAACCCTCTAAAATTGATGTGCCTCATAGTTCGACTGAAAGAGGGCTTGTAGTTCTAGAAAAGCCCATCCAGGTCCCTTGTTTTTTTTGAATGAGAAGACTGATGATAATGGGGAACTCTCATGGAACCCCATGGAATGACCCTCTTGACATTTAGTAAATCGATCAAATTACCTTGGAAGCGTTCTTAGTTTCAAAATACAAACTCAAAAGAATCATGACTGTCAATATCCAAATGAACACCAGTTCATGCCCTAACCGAAAAGTCAGTAATATTGCCTATTTATGTAAGAAAGCGATTATGACGAAATTTTTGTCGGGAATGAAAAGTGGAAGGAGCGTTAACAGCTTTGCCGCAGCTACACGCATGAGAAGCAGCACCAGACTTTTCGAACGCAAGAATGTTTACTCGATTCAGAAGCTTTCATTCTTTGAAGAGTTCCAGCGCCCAGCGCTATTAAGGTGGCCCACTGATATAGCGTAACCAGCAACATATCCCCACGAAATAGAGTGGTGTCTAAAACGTCTTCTTACCGCTCTAACAGTGAAGTTTGAAACGTTCTAACGACACACAAACTGGGCGCGACAATATGGTTCCCAATTTCTTCGATCTATTGGGTTGTAACATAAGTTCGTAGAGTTTTTTCACGAAGATTTATCTGAACCAAAAAACAATAATTATAATAATAAATTAACCAATGATGTATCCTCCGTTACTGATCACGACCTCTTCCCATCTCTCGACCAATTTGTTGATGGTGTTTCGCCGAAAATCGGCCGTTGTGGTGTTGAAGAATTTGTTGAGCCAGTTTTTAAGGTCCCCTTCGCCATCGAAGGTAACACCCCTCATTGGGTTTAACATAGAGCGGAAAAGGTGTTAGGTGCAGGTGCAAGATCCGGAGATTGCGCTGGATGCTGAAGAACCCTCCATTCAAGCTC